TGATCCAAACATCAATTACGAATTCTGCGTCGCGTCCCTCGAATCGGACTCGAGTAGCCACAGCGCCAAAAATCTCCAGCAACTCGGCCAAATCGCCATTGAATTAGATCAACGTAACGTGACGAGCACGACGTCGTATACCAAAAGGCTACTGAAGAGCAAAAAGAACAACTTGGATCCTTTCGTGAAGGCAGCCCTGCAAGATTGTCTTGAACTTTATTCCGACGCAATCCCTACCCTGAAAGAAGCCATTGAAGATTACAGAAACGGACACTACGACGACGCGAACGTTAAACTGAGTTCAGTGCTGGACGCCTCGACGACTTGCGAAGATGGTTTCAAAGAAAAAAAAGGTGTCGTCTCGCCGCTCACAGGAAGAAACGACGATGTGTTTCAGCTGTCTGCTATATCTCTTTCGATTATAAATATGCTTAAAAAATAATCTTATCGGTCATGGCTGTGGAGATTTTAGTTGAAGGTTTTTTCTTTATCAAAATGGTGGGAAGAGTATTTCTCTTTGTTTCTATAGAGTTTTAAGTAAGAATAACTATTAGTTCGAAATCAAATAAGATTGAATTCACTAACACGATTATAGGTGAGACCCGATTAAACCGATACATTTTGTTATTGAATAAATTAATAAAAAATATATATATATAATTACTTTTTATTTATACGCATCCTTATGAATTTACATTAAATATATTTTATTAGAGTTTCGTATTTCGGCCTTTATGTATCCTATAAATAAAGATCGTGTTTCTCTCCCATGTTATAATGTTCCATAAAGTTTACTATTTTGGTATAAGATAGAAGCAATTCTAGAATTCAGGAGAATCACAAGACTAATTATGAAATGACAAAGAGTAGACAAAGTCCTAGAACCCTAACATAGTGCTGAGACATGTCCAAGGCTTTAGAGCAAATCTCTGATACCCAATATAACTTGAAAAATCCAAATGCAGCCATGACCATGGGATATATAAGACTTTGTCAGACCTTAGTGCTTGCTTCCCTAGGACCTTCGAGGTTTCTCAAACCTTTGAACTTCCTTTAAAACCTTGTGCTACCCGCATTGTCGCCCAAGACAATAGTGTTGTCTCAAAATCCCAGACTAATTGTTGTCTTGAAATCCTAAGATCAATCTTAAGACTCGCGAGTTGGCAGAGGACTCCAGTGTCATCTGTTGTTGGTTTGCATTTTTAGATACATATATGAAAGGTAGATAATGGAAATTTTATTTTATTATTCATCTCACCCTAAGTGCACTAAACAAATCACAATAATACAACATTGTTTTTTCCACAATGTGCTTACATTATACTGTAAAAGCTACAATACAGTACTACCAAAAACTACTACATACTTAGAAATTGAAGAAACTAAAATAATGCGGGTGGTAATGGTGACAATGGGTCTAAAGTAGCAATTGCCACAAAAGTAACAGCAATACCGGTGATACTAGTGGATGCAATGTTGAGGTGACAACGGTCCGCAATGTCACGGTAGCAATAGTGGAATAGTAGGGTTGGTGAAAATGAAGACTGTGCTATTCTTAGTAATGAATAAAAGGTGAAAGAATGAAAAAACTAAATGAACAATTTAGATTTTCTAAAAGATTATCATGAGGTTAATCTACCACTTAACCTGAAATGAAGAGAAAGATAGAACCAAGAAAAATAGTCGCTATTTTTCTGCTAAGACATTTCTTTTTTTGAGATAATTTCTTTACAAGGGTATTATGATGCCACTGTTTAGTAACACAATTATTTTCTTCTGTTTCGTTTCTCTTTTTGTTCTTTTGGAAGATAGCATTTCCTCTTTCCTGATATAATTTTTGTATTTCAATTTTACAATACTTCTACTTTTATTAAAAGGTTGAAAAGAACAATAATAACAGAAGAAATCCACAAACATGAACCACAAAATTCATCTCAACAGAACAAAATAATCCGTCCAACTTCTGACATTCAGAATGCTTAAAAGCTATCCAAGTCTCAAAATTATCCTTCCGTACAGAATCAGATTATTCTTTTTATCCCATGGTCTCAGGTAAATGCACACAAACAGCCAATAAGTTAACCAAATCCGGGTCTACTACTCTCCATGAAATTCAAGATTAAGCAAAAAATTTCACCTCAAATTTCAGCCAGCCATTGGATGGTTGTATATATATTCAATTGCAAGAGAACAGGAATCAATCTTATCAGCTTCCTTATCTGGAATTTCAAGCTTGAACTCCTCTTCTAGAGCCATCACGATTTCTACATTATCCAAGCTATCCAACCCCAGATCATTCTGGAAATGTACATCAGGAGTCACCTGTAGACAATTATCAAATGTTAAAAATAGTACAAAATGCTGAAAGTTACCAACTTTATGAAACATTAATAATTTTTAAAATAAAATATAAATGTTGAATGTTTACATTTCTTTAGGCTAACTTTAGAACAAAATAAGATGTGAAGATCATTTGTAAATCCACAATCAGTTTAGCTATAGGATGTTTAAATTTGTATTAGGATGACAAAAAAATTGAATGTATGTGATCTTAATAAAATTTGGAACAGATTGTTTCACTTCCAAATAAAATTCCATGTGTTCTCAATTTTTATCATTTTATGTAGAACTCTCAGTATCTTCTAGTTCAAACAAGTATCATTTTGTAAATGAAGTCCACATAATTTTTAGATTTCTTCCAAATATAACCTTATTCTAAAATGCTGAAACTCCAAAGAATAATATTTTTACAGAACACCAAAAATTTTATATTTACATGTACGTGCATTGGTTGCCCTAAAGAATGTTATTTTACAAGTTTCCCCCCATTAATATAGGAAAAGCAATGCTGAAAAGATCAACGATGATGTAATTTCCCCTGGAAACAGAAATGAAGCTAACTCATTGACATTTCCAGAAAATTTACCTACACAATTCCGAAAGTGGATATGTTATTATAATTAGAAAATAAGTTCTTTCTCCCTTTTCTTGATAAATTGCAAAGAGAAATAAAAAAATCAGATCTTGATTTCTGTGTTTGTTAATCTAAAGAAAAGGAAAGAGATACAGTTACATCCAAGTAATGCAACTATAATCAGATTATATCTACTGAAGGTGCTGAAACAGACATGAAATAAACATTGATGCTTAAGCATAGACAACTGAAAAAAATTTGATTGCCAAGACATTCATCAGAACTAAATGAGGAAAAGAAACAAGAAGAGAGGAGTGAAATGGGGCAGGAAGATGTTATCATTGTAATAACATGATGTTGGTGTTTGGCCAGGAATCAGATAATTCAAGAATGGTGATGCTGCTTGCAGTGTTTCAAAATAGTGGAGCACAATGTTGTTATCTAAGGCATAGGGCAACTCTTTAATATAAGCGTCATTGTTTAAAACCCTCAAAATAGCTCATAAACTGCAAAATTACAAACTGCAAACAATTATTTGAAGAACTATTTTCTGTGAATGATCCTTAGAGCTTGGTATGCACTTCATCTCTTTAAATTCTTGAGTAAATAATGATCCAGCTTCCAAGAAATATGCTACAAAAACAATACTTGAATTGAATATGAACAACATACTTCATACAAGATCGAAAAACTTGCTCAATTAAGTGATGCATGCAAGTGAAAACCATTTTAACTTTTTTCCGCAGCTTTCTCATTCCAAAAGTGAAAACAAAGAATCAAACAAAAAAAGCTATGACAAAGAATCCTACCAAAAAAATGCAGCTTAAGAATTTTCCCATCTCCCTGCCCGCTATTTACTTAATGATGCAATCCGAGGGCCTTTTCCTCTAATTCCTTCTTTGACCTAAATGGATCATAAGAAGTATGAACTAATGAACTAATAATGATATGCAATGATGACGTTTATGATTTTAATTGAGGACTAAGTAAGAACTTTTCTTACTTGAATATATATATATATATATGTTTGAGATAAATTTTTGCTTCTCATAAAATTATCTGAGCAAAGTCTCATTCAAATACGAAAAATAAGTGAGGAACTCCAGTGAAAATTTATCATCATGCATTCTTTGCATAGAAGACACACAAGCGTTCTTGGTTTCTCAACTTGTTGCCACATGTATATAAAACCACATCACAAGCTTCCTTCCCATAATAATCATCCAGTTCTCTTCAAAGTTACAAATCATCCCAGTACATTAATCCCATTATGCAGATACCCTTTCTAAAGCTATGACAGTACTTGAGATGGTAAACTATATTGCAATATCTCCTAAGAGGCAATCCTTGCTTGATCAACTTGGTAGTTACAATTATGCTTCTTCTATAGGTAACAACAGTAGTCATGCTTGTGTGCTCAAAAGGTTTCTTTTTCCAGAAATAATAATAATAATAATAATAATAATAATAAAAGTCAAACGAGAAGCTCCCTAATTCAACTAAATTTCATGCCTGCATGTAAAATAAACCCTAATAATCATGGCAACCAAACGAAATTACAGAGCTCATGAAATTGGAAAAGAGATGGTTCATGATTGAACATCATTTGTCCTTCTTTATCTATTGAAGAGGTAAAGAAAGAGATCCAAAGTACTTATCCCAAAAAAAAAAAAAAAAATTGTGCCATCCAAGTCCAATGGAAATTATTGTTCTTAAACACCTAATTAAAAGAGAACCTAACAGGGCCTGATAATGAGAAATCAGTCCACTATTTCCGTCCCTTGCCTGTGATTTCTCAGAAAACAAACAGAAATTGGAAAAATGGAGCGGACGAATTTACGAGAAGAAAGGACTGGGTGGACTGACCTTTGAGGGATCTACCTTAGGGAAGCTCTTGACCACATCAATAACCCTCTCGACGACATCTTCTCTGGTGAGATGTTCATCGTGCGACGACATGAACCGGAGGGAGCCGAAGATTCTCCATTGCCGTTGTCTCGATCCGGTTAAAGCTAGAGTTTGCACGGGAACACGAACATGGCGAAGGATGGCTGCTCTAAGTGCCATTTCTCTTCGTCTCTCTCTCTCTCTCTCTCTCTCTCTCGACACAAGTGACTCACTTTGCCTTACGAATCGGCATAGCAGGAAAAGGGCAGCTGGAGTATCACGTGCGTTGCACGTGATTTAATACCTCATCTCGTTTGGGCCGGGCCGGGCCGGGCCAACCCAATTTCCCTTGCAAATTTCTTCAATACAAAGTTTCTTTCTTTAGAAAAACAAATTAGAAATTACTTATTAGTATTTTGTTGTTTTAATTTTTTATAAAATTGATAATTTTATTTTATTATCAAATTTATTTTTTAAGAGTTATTCACTTTTTAAGTTTATAATTTTTTTTAAAAAAAAAAGGCTAAAAGCGAAGAAAATTTAATTATTTTTCGAAAATAATATAAGCTTACAAAATAAAAATTACAAACGGCATTGTGGTAGGTCTATAAATAGTCTTTTCTTTACATTCCTGAGAAACCCGAAGGTGCGGCGTCACGAACGCGGAGCAACCGGTGATCTCTCCGGCGTAGTGGATATATTCCGGCGAGATCCCGACCTTGGAACCTCTCTCTGTTCCGATCCAAATTCGGGGTTCTTTTCTGGATAGATTCGAATTATGGCTCCGGTTTCGGCTCTCGCCAAATACAAGCTGGTGTTCTTGGGGGATCAATCTGTGGGAAAAACCAGCATCATCACTCGCTTCATGTACGATAAATTCGACAATACCTATCAGGTATTTGCATAAGGATTAATTCATCTCTAGGAAGGTGACGAACAACTATTCATACACGATTTCGTAATGTTCATTTTCTTTGAAAGTTAGTATCGTGTTTGGATCTGATTTGGCTCTTCCGGAAATTCCTTTTAATCTATTTTTTCTTTTAGATCTTATATTGTATTAATGGATTCCTTTTCATTTCAGATTATTGTTTTACATTTTGTGATTCTTGATGTCTTTAGATTCACTCGATGCTGTTCGAGTTCTTTTTAGCTGATCTGTAAGCTACATTCCATTTGCAGGCTACTCTTGATGCCATGTTTAGGATTCGAGAAGAAAGAAAGGAAAAGCAATATGCATATTAGTGAACATGGTAGTTAACATGCACATACACTAGATAGAGAACTTACAATATTAAGTTTATAGAAAATATTTAACATGATAAATCGTTTAAATATAGACAAGATAAATCATGTCTAAATTATTAGTTTATAGATTTAAGCTAGAACTACAGAAGGATCAGGAATATTATCCTAAAACAAGTATAGACATAATAAAATATACCGAAATCAATCTTTTTTATCAAGTTGTGGTATGTGAAGATTAACCCGCGCCATATGACTTTCACCTTTTGGGACGATGATGTAGTTATCTAAATAAATAGGTTAGCATTTGTGCTTAGCACCTAGCAGTTAATTTTTTTAACTTCCATTATTGAAACTTTTCTTTTAAGAACCATTAGATCATCTGTCCATTATGAGTTTCCATTTAACCGCATGGAACTTTAGTCTTTAGCAGAGTATGAAAAATATGAAAATGTCAGCAACATGAAATCCAATTCTGCAACAGTTTTTGGGATGTTAAAATGCTTTAACTAGAGAAGTTTTTAGGCTGTTCTTATACTTCAGAATTCAGAAGTAGAGAGGATATAATTGGATTATCCATAAACCTTTATAGTAATGTAGATCATTACTGATTGTAGCGTGGCTCAATTCACTTGTATATGGGAATCTCTGTCCCTTTCTTAATCTTCCATTTTCTTTTGAAAAAATTACATTTTCCTCAATGAGGTTTCTGTATTGCTCATTTTTAAAACTGAAAAAAAAAATTTATTTCAAAAACTAATATATACTTGTAAACGGAAATTGACTGAAAAATTGAGCCAAAATTACAAATTAAATAACCAGTAGCACAGGAAATGAGAAAAGCCAATACAACAAACAAAAAAACAAATAAAATAATGAGTTGTTTCTTTGGGTAATTCTCTATTTAAAATTTTAGTTTAAGTGATAAGTGAATGTATTTAAATATTAATAATAAGCATTACGAAATGATGAAAAGAATTAACAGAAAAATTTGAAAGAGTAGATAGCTAGGGGGTAAAATGCACAATAGTTTGTAAATTAGGATTTTCTTGTCTAGTTTTAGAAATTAGAGTGTTTTCAGTATAATACAGCAAATCTTGGGACAAAATGTAATTTATCCTCTCTATTTTCAAATTCTCTCCCAGCTACTCTCTGCCTCTGTATGTTTGGTCTGTTTTGATATAAGCTTACAAGTTTGATATTATAACCAGGCAACTATTGGGATTGATTTTCTATCAAAAACAATGTACCTTGAAGATCGAACAGTTCGCCTGCAGCTCTGGTGAGGTTTCATTTCTTGATAACTTCAATAATATATTCTATTGTGAGTTGCATCAAAAATATTATTGCATTGAAGTTTACCCTGGCTCATGATTTTGATATTGAAATATAGTGTAAATTAATTTGTATTGCCTTCTTTTACCGCAAGACATTGTTTTTTGAAACATTAGTGAGTACTAGATTTTCGTAATTGGTTAAAAATTCATTTTTCTTGCAAGTGTTGAACATTTGATGCCCTGGAAGAAATGATTTTGCTAGACCACCACGTAGCACTTGTACATATCTCGTGAAAGTGGGATGATTGTAAACTGCGCTGTCTTAGTAACATAAATTCATTCAACTCCCTATATCTCTCTCTCTGTGTAAATTCAACATAACTACTGTTTATTCTGACCTGATTTTACAAGACCAGATTACACAAGTTCTTTAAGTGCTCAAGTGGCCTACAAGGCAGGTTTACTTTCAGTTGAATGCATTAACTTGCCACTGGACATTATTGCACCACTATTCTTGTCCTTAAAACTTCATCTTATATGGTTAATTATTTTGTTTGGCTAATAAACAACATTGAGATACATTGCAGGGATACTGCTGGACAGGAGAGGTTTAGGAGTCTCATTCCAAGTTACATCAGGGATTCTTCTGTGGCAGTCATTGTATATGATGTTGCAAGTATGTTAATTTTTACTCATATATTTCCTGTTTTGGTACTTCATTCCTTATAGTTGTTTATGCTCAGTAATCTGTATATTAAAAGAAAAAACTTAGTATATGGTGAAGAAAAAACTTAGTGTATGTTAATTTTTACTCATATATTTCCTGTTTTGGTACTTCATTCCTTATAGTTGTTTATGCTCAGTAATCTTTATATTAAAAGAAAAAACTTAGTATATGGTGAAGAAAAATTAACGAGGAAGCTACTATATATGGTTCAAGCTTCAAGTTGGTGACCCTTAATAAATCTAATACTGAGCTATTTTACTGGTCAACTGAGCACATTACACTACATACTTGATGAAATTCACTTACCATATTGGCAATTTCCTTTGTGACTTAGGCAGACAGTCCTTCCTCAACACTTCCAAATGGATTGAAGAGGTTCGAACTGAGCGAGGAAGTGATGTTATAATTGTGCTCGTCGGTAACAAGACAGACCTTGTGGACAAAAGGTTAGTATTTATTGTTTTGAGTTTATAGTTAAGAAGCTTGATTATGCTGGTTTTATGTTGTTGTTTAGACTGGTCAAGGCACATATGTTTCTCTTACTCTATTCTGTTCTAATACTTAATCATGTTAGGTCCTCGGTTATTAGTTGCTTAGCAATTAATTTGAATGTTCTAAAACTATAGCTATAGGTTCTAGAAGCTCCATTGTGTAGCAACATCATTCTTAACCTTGATACGATTGGGATGTATTTTTCTCGATTTTATTACCTGAAGAGGGTCAGTAGAAAGTGTTTGTAAAGAATCAGGCTTCATCCTTGTGCTGGTGGCAATTTTTGCCTAAATAATGGTAGTCTAAGTTTAGAATGTATTGTTCCCTCCCTGGTGCTTATGTGGCTAAAGCACTCTCTTTAGTTATTATACACAGGTACAGGGAGCCAGAAGATCAGAACTTGAGAATGTTTTATGTCGATGCTGGTTTAGTACTAAAGTTGGAATGGCTCACAATATATGTATATATATATATATATATATATATATGTATTAATGCTCTTGCAAATTGAATGAAAGAGTACTCTAGTGAAAACTTAAATTGTTTCTCCCATTTAACATTTATTTTCTGATTCCTTGGGAATTTTGTTTTCTTTGACAGGCAAGTTTCGATAGAGGAAGGAGAAGCCAAGGCTCGTGAGCTAAATGTTATGTTTATAGAAACTAGTGCTAAGGCTGGCTTCAATATAAAGGTGAAACCATGGTTAGCTGTTAAGATGATCTTAATTGGACTGTCACTTGATTGTGTTTTGTGAATTGAACTTTGCCACATTGAAGTTACACCATTCTTTTCTTTGACTTCTCTTTTGAGGAACTTAGTTTCCTTGTCAATCAGCAAAGTTTTTACTACAAGAAATTTGCTGTTGGATAGTCTTACTACCACTTCTTTCATCACAAGAGAACAGTGTTTTTGGATTTATTGGGGCTGTTTGCATTTTTAAATTATGTTGTTTGAGTTCTTGTTTGTGTAAGAATTCATTACTGTGCAGCCCTGTTGAATTTATTTGACCTTTTCAGGCACTCTTTCGCAAGATAGCCGCAGCCTTGCCCGGAATGGAAACACTTTCTTCAACGAAGCAAGAAGACATGGTTGATGTCAATCTCAAGTCTTCTAACAACTCGTCTCAGTCACAGCCACAATCCGGAGGATGTGCATGTTGATGTAAATCAATCAATCAAAGCTCGTTCTGGCAACAATTCTTGTATGCTTCTGGAAGTCTCCATGAAGTCTGTAAAGTTTTTGCCCTGTCCCCTTTTTGTAGTATTGTCATTTTAGTTTGGTTGATTGAGTGGAGATCGGTGATAATCAAGGAAGTGCTTAAAGGCAATGTAGTAGTTAGGCTTAGTCCTAAGCAGTGTTCTTTATGCTTCTTTTGGAGTTAAGAAGACAGTTTTTGCATTGTCCTTAAAAAAGTGAAGGCAGTTGTTGGGTGTATACTGTTAAACACATGTTCAGTTTCAGGTCAACTTATGTATGAAATGGCTCCGTCCAGTAATGCATATATTTGGATTTCAATAACACAGACTGGACAGGTCTTATTGGTGAAAAGATCGAGTTGACTGTTAGTTAAACCGGTGGGATGAAAATTTGAGGACAGAAACCCCATTATATGTTTGATTTTAAAAATTCCAACATCAAATACTCAAATGAACTTCATAGTAGAATCCAATTAGTCATTATACATTTCTCTTTGTATTGTGTGAAATTACATTTGAAAGGGTAGATAATGGAAAGCCATGTATGTAATGGTCTTGTGGACCTGTGGTTCAATAGCAGTTATCTTCTCGGAAGTTCTGGACTTGATATTACAAGCAAGTTGGAAAACTGCATGTATGCTATTGAACTTCTGTCCTATTTGGTGCATTGAACACAACAGATGTGGAATGAAATAGGAAATTTGGTGGAAAAGAAATCGCGCTGCCTTGTGGCAACGGTCGAGGAACGAAAGTTTAGAAAAGGCAGATGGTCATGAAGATTTAGGCATGAGAACGGAGGAGAAAATGTTGTGTGGAAGAGAAACAAAGGAATAAGTAAGGTGTTATCTGCAGGGAACGAAGCGAGAACTTTCGTTATTGGGTTTCGTTTTCTAGGAAAGAAAATGAGGTAGATGGCTCAAAGAAGTAGCTGAGAGTTTGAAGAAGAAGAACAAGAAGAAGCATATTTATGGGGTCATCAACATGTTACAGACTTTCAATCAATCATAATTTGGTTACAACTTTTGATTAAGTGTATAACGATCATATATATATATATATATATATAAGGGAGAGGAATCTTCAAGGATTCTCTCCTTTATCTTTTTCCCTGTTATTTTTGCCAAAACCTACAAATTCTCCAAACCCATTTGTAAATCAAAACAATTTGAACTGCTAGATTTCATGAACTAGTTTTTAGAAGTGAAAAAAATGGTTACTGTTCTAGTTCTTCTTTTCTTGTAATGAACCTCTCCTTATCTCCTCCATTAAATCTCACTCAAGCTCCATTTAGCCAACCATCTAAACAAAGGTTAAAATGACTAACCCAAATTAGCAAGA